ATTACTGCAAAGCATTTTTGGATTTGTCGACTTTGAACTATCTCTAAGTTTTCTTTAAAGTCGCCTCACTTGACCATAGTTAGTGACTTGACAAACTATTGGAATAAGAGGGACTCTGTATGAGTGTATTGGATTTGTCCATATTTGGTGACAGTGCCACTTCAAATATCTCCATTTGATATATTGTATAAAATATAATTATACATAAGAGAACCACAAAGAACAAAATGTGTTAACCTACTCCCTAGTACCATTTTTACATATTGAGTTTCCCTATCTAATGAATATTTTTAACTTTCAACATAGAAAATCACGAAGCCACAGAGATGGCTTAAAAATACCACAGAGACAGTAAATTGCTGCATGCAGGTTGCAGGTTGCAGGTTGAACATTAAAGATTACAGGTCGCAAGTTACAGACTGTAAATTGCCAGTTGAAAGTTGCATGCAGAAGGAAAAAGATTACAGGTTGCAGGTTTAAGATTGCAGAATGCCAGTTGCAAGTTGCAGGTTGAAGCAACCAATGTGCAAACCAGCAATACACTATTCTCTTTGAAAGTTGTTGAATAATGATCGAAGAATAAAACATGAAGAATCCTTGAGTAACAGAAATGACTGACTCTAGATCACATCTTCAGACTATGTAATATATGAGCTGGACCAAATGATTAAAAGATAAAGAATCTTTGAGCCATGGGGATGACTGATGCTGGATCACAGGTGATGTGTTCCTTTTTGGAAGGGTCCTGGTCATCAATAATATGAACCTTGTACGTCTGTGGATCAACTATAAAGAAAAAGACAGTGTACACAAGTATTAATTCAGCCGGACATATTGAAAGAAAAACACTATAATGCAATATCTATTAATAATTATATAACAAACAATGAAATACTAGTGAGCTTTCATGCCAAAACATATCTTCACAAGTGAAAATAACATGTTATCTTCACATGTGAAAAGAGCACTGTTACTATGGCTACATGATCAAGCACGCCTTATGTTGAAATGGTTTGGTATTTCATTGGTGTTTATATAATAAAAGATAGAACATTACAGAAAGGTGCCTAGGGATTTGAAATTTCTCTTCTTATGTTCGATAATTATTATTTCACTCAATCACTGCACTCACTGGTGAAATCAACACTCTTATAAGAGAAATTTCGTATCTCTATGTGGCCATGTAATATCCTATATACAGCCTTTTGTTATTAAAGAGAAAACAGCCCAACACACCTGTAAGTTTAGGTAAGTAGTTGTTCAAAATCATGTCTTTCTTTGTCACTTTGCGGCACCTGTAAAAAAAATGAAATTTAGAAAAAGTATCCACTGAGAATACAAACTTTGATAGACAAAAGGGTGAAGGGCAGGAATGCACACATGTATCTGTTGTGGTTCAGTTTTATCCTTGGTTTAAATTTCATTTTCCTTTGTTTTTGGGTATGGTAATGTATGATAATGAGTTTGAAACAAAGGAAAATAAAATTTAAACCAAGGATAAAATTGAACCACAACATATCCACCCGATCCCCCACTTGATTCCCCTGAGAGACAATCCACTTACCCCTTTACTGCTACAGTCTTCTTGCTAATTCCATAAGCCTTGCAAACACTGTTCTTTTCACATTCCTACAAAAACAATGTATTGCAATGATGTGAATTGAAAAGTTGCCATCATTCTGTTGATCCAGGGCTTTTTCGATACATTAATAAAACAGGATTGTTAAAAATATAAAATCATTTATTATTATCATTATTATTATCATTATCATTATCATTATCATTATCATTATTACTATTATTATTATTATTATTATTATTATTATTGTTTTATAATTACTATTATAATTGTTATTATTTTATGATAAAAAATAGAATATGGTGTCCTGTCCGTCCATAATAATAAAACAATAAATTATTGCTTGTTTTTCTGCTGTCATGGATCTTCCCAAAATTACACAGAAAGCAGTAATGGTCAATCTTTGTTTACTGCCAGTGCACGTCTGTAAGCTGATAAAGAAAAGTACAAGCTATATAATTATGAAGAGAGAGACTTGCCTGGCTAACAAATACAACTGAGTTGGCTCCGACTGCAACTCCAAAGGCTCCAAACATGGGGCGTGGTCGGACAGGCTGGGGTGTTGGAATAGAAGCATTGGGATTTCCTGCAGGAAGAAGTACAAGGCAATAATAACTTCTTATGGTTGCTATGATCTCAGAAAAATATTTCATAGTAATTTTCAACAACAGTAATTATTAACAATTATTAGTTACCCATTTGCGACCAAGCAATCTGGCCTCCCTTTACAACGATCTCTGGTTTAGCACCAAACAAAGCAGGATTCCACAGAACCAAATCAGCCAACTTTCCAACCTGAAAAATAAAAAGTTAATGCAAAACAACAACCTGTTGTAGTGACTAATGCAATTTTACTATAGTATTCAACAAAAATAGCCTACTGGTGAATGATATGTTTTGGAAAATATAATTGACACAACTGAATCAATTTTTCCTTCACTTGCTAATTCAAAAACATTTGAGTATGTGTCTCACAAAAGGTCTTTCATTTCCCCTACCATTCCCAGCAATTCAGCCTTGTGAGGGGTTTAGACGAACTTGCAGTTCAATTTCATTGAAAATCACCTTTGACCAAGGTTGAAGCTTCCTGATAACTTTTTCTCAGAAATTTTATTGATCAGTGATCAAAATCATCAAAGCATATGGGGATGTGGTGACCCTTTTATTCTGAAGTGCAACCATTGACCAAAACTTAACACTATTGGCAAAATATATTCAATATCTCATCGTAAAAACACTGAACCCTCAGTTTTTGTACAAGCCAAATGCACAGATGATGAGTTGCCTGGCGTGGCAACTTTAAGTTATTTTTCTTCAGAACCCACCTCAATGGATCCTATGTGGTGAGACATTCCATGAGCTAAAGCTGGGTTTATGGTATACTTGGCTATGTAACGGCGAACACGGATGTTGTCGTTGTCACCCTATTACAAAATAATCAACAGTCAAATATAAGGTCTGTTATTACTACGATAACTATAATAAAATTATAGTAATAATATTATTATTTAAAAAATGGCACATCAGTTGAGATGCCATTTAGAACCTGGCAATATAAGACAGTAAAATGTCTTTGTTGCTAAAGCCTCACAGTCACAGTCTGTGTAAGTACATGTAAGTATTAACTTCCACAGGAAACCCTGCCTACGCAATGCAAAAACACAGTTAACATAGTAGCTACATGCAGTGACAGACTGTCTATTTTTATAATCATTTTATTTTACTTTAAACAATTAACAGTTTTTCCAGTTTTGTTGGCCACGTCACAGAGCTGCCCAATGGGGGTGGGCAGAAACTGATCTCATTGGTCCCATACATGAAGCCCTCCCCTCCCTCCTACCCAATCTACAAACCATGAGGGATAGACACTAGGGTGGCCACTAATGGTCTCAGAGAGAGCACACTTTTCTCGGTTACATTTCAGACCCAGTGAGCATTGGTCAAGTCAGTGAAAGAGAACTTGGACCCCCCATCCCACGAGAGTCTAGTGTCTAACCAACTACCCTAACCAATATCATTGAACTTTTACCTGCTCTTCAGCAAGTTTTCCTCTGAGTTTTTTCATTTTATCTGCTGTTTGCCATGTGCGACAGATGACCTCACCAACACGGCCCATGGCCTGAAACAGTAAAGAAATTGTCATGATAGTTCAGCAAAAGAAGAATGGCTAAATGGGTACGTACTATACTTAGTAAGTTTTTCTGACCTGTGAATCAGAAGATATGATGCTTATGGCTCCCATATCATGAAGAATGTCTTCTGCAGCAATTGTTTCTGCCCTGATACGGGACTCAGCAAAAGCTACATCCTCCTTCAGATTGCTAGACAAAAAATTATGTGAAACATTGACTTTGAGTAACCTACAGTCTTACAGGACTTCAAAAGCACTTTTTCTTGGGAGCCAACACAGCCATTCTTTACATTGTCAAGACCCAAAATAGCAGAATGGGGGCAAACATTTTATTTTTTATGAGTGCAGGGAATGGATTCCATTTTTCCCTTCTGGGCTCAAAACCAAGACATCTAATGAGTGTCCTTAACTCAAGGAGAAGAAAGAGCTCACAGAGAAAACCGGAACTGGACCTTAATTCTATTAGGAGTTCGGCCATTGAAGTTTAACCATCAAAGAGAGAAGAAATAGTTACCAAAAATATCATGTGCCTTTATGCATTTTGGTATTAGAGAGACTTGCAAATGTAAACATCAAGCACTGGAATCCAAGCAAATATCTAAAATAATTATTAGCCAGCTCTCTTCATGCATTTAACGTTCCAACCAGTGGGAGTGAAGGGCACCAAAAGTCACTTACCTATTGTATACCTGCCAACTTTTTCTGAGATATAAGCATGAGATTTTTATCCTGGGAGTGCTAGGATTTTTGAAGACGACACGATCATTTCCGAAGATTCCCGAAGAAGTCCGAAGTCTTCCGAAGAAGTCTGAAGTCTTCTGAAGCCGTTCGAAGTCTGCCAAAGGCGAAGTTATCGAGAAAACGCTTATCCATAAAATCAGAGATCACGAGGAAGGTATTGTCATTTATTCATTTTACACATGGTTTTCGTTCCTTACATGGGTCTCAGTTAACATATTTTTGGAAATTGTGTCAAGCAAGACGGCAACAACTCACATTTTTCAATCAGGCGTGAGAAATTGGCCCGCAAGCGTGAGCCGGCGTGAGATCGAAGTTTTCAACCCGCAGGCATGAGACTCACGCCTAAGGCGTGAGAGTTGGCAGGTATACTATTGTGACTCACTTTTATAACCATTTTTTTTCAAATTTTATTTTCCTTTTGATTCAAAATTACTGTACTAAATAACTTTGCAAGGAAAATTATTAAACCATAACACAATCAATATGTAGCACCCATGCTACAATACTGAAAACAAGCCAGTAGAGATCTGACTTACTTCTGGGTTATACACCACATGGCTACATTACTAGGAAGTAGCAATGTTAACATACCTGTCAAGATGATGGCACACCATCAACATGTCTAAGTGCTCATCAATAGTATTCTTAGTGAATGGCCGAGTTGGGTTGGTTGATGATGGAATTACGTTTGCTTCAGAGCAAACTTTAATGATATCAGGGGCATGGCCTCCACCTGCTCCCTCAGAGTGATACGTGTGGATTGTTCTGCCCTGAAAATACGCAAAAGATAAATAAGGTTTCTTTTGTTTCTCATGCATGAAAAGAATCGCAAAGAAAGCCGCTGGAAAAGTGAACATTTTTCGTATTATTTCTCGAAAAAGAAGTGCAAAAGTTCAAAACAGTGTTTGTCTACTAAAACAAATGTCACATCCTAAAATTCAGCAGTTTTGATGCACTTTAAAAAAATGATTAAAAAACCCTAAGGACATTCTTGCAAGGAGCCCTACAACTAAATTAAAAGGTGCTCTACAGTAAGAATTAAATGCAAAGGTGCCATAAAATCATGATCTATTTATTACATCATAAGTTTTTGGTGGTATTCATAAGTGATTGCCACATGAAAAAATGAGGGCACACTAAAATTCTTAGGTGTTCCCTCATAATTGCCAGAAATCTGACAGCTCAGTCGAAGGGGAGTCAAAGGGGAATTGCAGGTGGAATTCAAATTTCAGAGACAAAGTTGCAAGATCTCTTTCCTTTTCTCACCCCGCCACCAGAGCCCCCTGGAGAGCTTGCTTGCAGGATACAAAAGAAAGGCTAAAAAGCTTGACTGTCTATATTGAAGCATTTTTAAAATAAGAGTAATCACTAATAATAAACCTTAAAGGCAGCTATGGATTGTTCCACACAGGCTGATTCATTTAGTGTATCTGTATGAATGGTTATCTGAAAAAAAAAAGACAAATAATAAATTATTTTAACTCAAAGAATTTTGAATTTAATTTTTGTCTCTGGTTCTACCAGCAATAGCATGCACATTTTTTGAAATGTCTGATGCATACAGGTTGCAAAATATCAGATAGGCCAAACACCTTCACTGGTTTTATACCAGATCTTTTGAGCATTTTAGTTAAATTATCCACTTGAGGTAACATGACCACAGGATACTCACTTAAATTTCTGTGGCATGAGGCAACCTCTAGACGACGTATTGTCACTCCCTTCAGGTGCTTCCCTCCCCTCCTTCCTCCCTCCTTCCTCGCGTGCCCCTTGCCCTTCCCTCGCACCCCAAAATCCCCTTTCCCTTCCCTTTCAAATGGCTGCCAAGCAGGCTACATGAATCCAAAAAGACAGAACACAACTCCACTAAGGGCAACATGACCTCAGGATGTATACCCACACTTAAATTTCTGTAGCATGAAGTTGCTTCTGGAAGGAGTATTACTACTCCTTCAAGAATCCAAGCAGATGAAACACTATCTAGGTCTAATCTATCAAAAGTTACTGCGCCTGTTACAGCTTGTCTCTCAACTCAGTCACTCAAAGAGAAGAAAGATTCAGGGAGGAACCTTCAACAAGCACGTGAGAATAACACTAACTGCGAGTGACCACCCCACAGTTTGTGAGTCTCTACCTACCACATAATTTATGTAAAACTGATTATCGTTTACCTGAACATCGTGTTTTTCCGCAGCTGTGAGGGCACAGTCAATTGCCGCAGGAGTTGTTCCCCAATCCTCATGGAGCTTTAACCTTTAAAAGAAAAACACAAACAAAATCTGTTGAATGTTGGTTATACCCCAATCAGTCTATTGGCTGGTTAACTAGATGTTGGTAGTGTTTTAATTTTACAGGTACCATTGCAAAAAATCTTGATGATCTGTCAGTTTGTAGCATGTCCAGGAGCTCTGCACAGCACCCGCCTTTACGCCTTGAACGACAAACGACAAACGACAAACATGAATTTGAACCATGTGACCAAGTTTTCCCCTTAGTTTTCATTTACTGCTTATTACTTCTACTCAAAAATAAGTACTTTCACGCCCGTTTTATCCCTAAGAATTGTTCTGGACAGCATTCATCTGCTTATTTTCTATTCTGAGAAATTCTCAACTTGAATCTGACGTTTGCCATTTGCAAACATAACTCTTGATCTCGCTAATATCTTTCCAAGTGCTAGTTCCTTATTTACAACATCATAACTCACCCAATGGCCCCAGCACTGATTTGCTCTTCCAACTCCTCTGCCACCCCACTAGATTTGGAGGTATTTCCCTTCCCTAAAGGAATAAAGCAATGCAATAAACAACACATGTGGTATCAACTTTTTTAACTATATAATACATTTTAAGTTATCTCCAGCTTTACATCTAAAATAAAACACATAAAAAAGAAATTATTATTACTGACCTGTAAATCCAAAGTTGAGGGGAAAGCTGTCTGTGCTCTGAATCATAGCTCTGAAAACAAATTGTCATCAAGAACGTATTGGCTACAATAATTTTAATTTTATAACTTTAAATTTGTGATGGCCACAACTCCTTAAAGAAACATAGTTGATGATTATTGTACGATGAAAAGCTCCAAGAAAACCCATACTAAGCAGATTTTCTTGGGAGCTGTTTTGTTCTCCAAGTTATCAGCGGAGGAACTATTTTTAAGAAAAACTCAAATACATTAAGAAGTGCATAGGATCAACACTAATAATAACAAATTGAGTATAAAATTCATATTCTTGTGTATCAAGAAACTCACTTGATGTGATTTGGTCCTGGAGTACAAGTTGTTGCACATGTACCAGTTGCAGGACCTACAAAATGAAGAATACTTTTAATTAATCATCTCAGTCTAGACATACTAAATTAACAAAACTAATATTATTGATATCATAGGCTGTCATTAAGAGGAGGGGACCTGAGGGATTTCCCCACAAATGTCCAGTGCTGGCCACAAGATCCCTACTTTCCTTTTTCATCCTTAGTTCCACACTTCTCAGAGGTGTGGAAGTGTAGAAAAGTCTGTCAAAGTCAGGATAATGTCACACTTTTCCCCCTGTTAAGAACCCCTTGTCATTCTTTACTTAGTTCTACACTTCTCAGAGGTGTGGAAGTGGGGAATAGTCTGACAAAGTCAGGATAATGTCACACTTTTCCCCCTGTTAAGAACCCCTTGTCATTCTTTACTTAGTTCTACACTTCTCAGAGGTGTGGAAGTGTGGAAAAGTCTGACAAAGTCGGGATAATGTCACACTTTTCCCCCTGTTAAGAACCCCTTGTCATTCTTTACTTAGTTCTACACTTCTCAGAGGTGAGGAAGTGGGGAATAGTCTGACAAAGTCAGGATAATGTCACACTTTTCCCCCTGTTAAGAACCCCTTGTCATTCTTTACTTAGTTCTACACTTCTCAGAGGTGTGGAAGTGTGGAAAAGTCTGACAAAGTCGGGATAATGTCACACTTTTCCCCTGTTAAGAACCCTTGTCATTCTTTACTTAGTTCTACACTTCTCAGAGGTGAGGAAGTGGGGAATAGTCTGACAAAGTCAGGATAATGTCACACTTTTCCCCCTGTTAAGAACCCCTTGTCATTCTTTACTTAGTTCTACACTTCTCAGAGGTGTGGAAGTGTGGAAAAGTCTGACAAAGTCGGGATAATGTCACACTTTTCCCCCTGTTAAGAACCCCTTGTCATTCTTTACTTAGTTCTACACTTCTCAGAGGTGAGGAAGTGGGGAATAGTCTGACAAAGTCAGGATAATGTCACACTTTTCCCCCTGTTAAGAACCCCTTGTCATTCTTTACTTAGTTCTACACTTCTCAGAGGTGTGGAAGTGGGGAATAGTCTGACGATGTGGTGTGCAATGTTGTTAATTTTATTTAGTACTATAACGATCTCAGTTTCATTTAATAGGTCGTCGGCCAGAACACTGAAACTTATTTTAATCTTATCACTGACTGAGCTATTTAATCACGGTAATTAATCCTTTGGCGGCATATAAGTGCATTCAAGCATGAAGCGATATACAGACGTTTTGATGTTGTCATATGACCTCTTTGTGTTTCACCTACAGATTGACACAGAAGTTTGCGAGCAGACCTTCTCTTGGCTGTCAAAATATGCAAAAAATGACAAGGAAAATGAACAGAGGACACTTCGCCTTTTTTCATAATTTATGTCCAGCATTTACATAACCTTAGAGAAGAGGAAAAACTGAGAAACAGTGGATATATGGCGTGATCTAACAATGATCAAATTTGAACCCTTACTGATAAGGAAGAAAGCATGGTTGGTGATCGGATTTCTTAACTTTAAGTTTCTTTCAACAGCTGGCATTGAAACAATGGTTATATCTGCTATTCAAAATAAAAATAGTTCTTAAGGAAGAATGTGAAAAACCATACAGAAATAAAACCAAGTGCTCATAAAGCTTACTGAGCTTCTCGTGACTCAGGGAAAGTGCGACATTAAACTTAACTTGTCAGACTAATCTACCCTTCCACACCTCCGAGAAGTGTGGAACTAAGTAAAGAATGACAAGGGGTTCTCAACAGGGGGAAAAGTGAGACAATATCCTTACTTTGTCACACTATTCCCCACTTCCCACACCTTTGCGAAGTGTGGAAACTAAGTAAAGAATGACAAAGGGTTCATGACTGGGGGAAAGTGAGACAATATCCTTACTTTGTTGGACTATTCCACACTTCCACACCTCTGAGAAGTGTAGAACTAAGTAAAGAATGACAAAGGGTTCATGACTGGGGGAAAGTGCGACAATATCCTTACTTTGTCGGACTATTCCCCACTTCCAGACCTCTGAGAAGTGTAGAACTAAGTAAAGAATGACAAAGGGTTCATGAGTGGGGGAAAGTGCGACAATATCCTTACTTTGTCGGACTTTTCCACACTTCCACACCTCTGAGAAGTGTAGAACTAAGTAAAGAATGACAAAGGCTTCATGACTGGGGGAAAGTGCGACAATATCCTTACTTTGTCAGACTTTTCCACACTTCCAGACGTCCGGGAAGTGTAGAACTAAGTAAAGAATGACAAAGGGTTCATGACTGGGGGAAAGTGCGACAATATCCTTACTTTGTCGGACTATTCCACACTGCCAGACGTCCGGGAAGTGTAGAACTAAGTAAAGAATGACAAAGGGTTCATGACTGGGGGAAAGTGCGACAATATCCTTACTTTGTCGGACTTTTCCACACTTCTACACCTCTGAGAAGTGTAGAACTAAGTAAAGAATGACAAAGGGTTCATGACTGGGGGAAAGTGAGACAATATCCTTACTTTGTCGGACTTTTCCACACTTCCAGACGTCCGGGAAGTGTAGAACTAAGTAAAGAATGACAAAGGGTTCATGACTGGGGGAAAGTGCGACAATATCCTTACTTTGTCGGACTATTCCCCACTTCCACACCTCTGAGAAGTGTAGAACTAAGTAAAGAATGACAAAGGGTTCATGACTGGGGGAAAGTGCGACAATATCCTTACTCTGTCGGACTATTCGACACTTCCACACCTCTGAGAAGTGTAGAACTAAGTAAGAAGTGAAGAAACTCTGGATTTCATGGCCAGCGCTGGACATGGCTCGATTTCCCCTGGCTACTATGAATGTGGCCCCCAGCTTCTTTCAAAGGAAAATAGAAGTAGAATAGAACCAAAAGAGACCCCTAGGTGTTGATTCCCCACCTTCTTGTTGTATTTACCCAGAAACTTGAAATCTTAGTGACAACCCTGATATCAACACCTTAACTGAGCATGACATTTTAGCAGGTTAATTATAGATATTAAGATGTTTCCCCTTAAGGAGCAATGTAAAAATAAATTTAAAAATAATAAGGATGCCAACTCCTACCTGTTCCTCCCCCAACCATGGTGGTGAGTCCAGAAGCAATTGCCTCCTCGGCAAGTTGAGGGCAGGTAAAATGAATATGAGAATCAAAGCCTCCTGCGGTGAGGATCAAACCTTCTCCTGCTATCACTTCTGTGCCAACCCCACACACCATTCCCTACATAACATGCAATTTTTACAAATTAATAAATGTCAGTACCTGGAAGCATATTGAAAAATAATAATACCTTGTAACACGCCAAATTTTGAGGGTTTGAAAGGCTCATGGGTCTTCTTAAATTGCAATAATAAATTGCATCAATATTGTATAAGCGTTCACGCTCATCACCTAAACCAACAACTGTTAACCAGCTGGTAAGGCCACTTCTAAAGTGTAACATACAAACACGTGGCCAGAACAGTAAACACAACTATCTCTGCCATGTTCGTCTTCACACACACAATTTTAGCATGCAATACTGCTGAGCTTATGCACCACAGTCAAACCAACACAACAAAGGAAAGCAAATCCAAAACTTGGCAATCCTGTGGCTTTTAAAGACAGGTGAAATAGGCCAGGCCCGGATGGCATCAATAGTTGTGATGTTCTTCTGAATATCAAACATGAGGGGTACTGGGACTAAGACAGCCTTGAGTGTATGATGAAGTTTTACATAGATTGAGTACTATTCAATTTTAGCTTATTAAGTTATTTTACTTCACAAACTAGATAACAGTGTTCTTACAATTTAGCCTTTTTATTATACAGTCAGGGAACGTCAAGCATACCTCCCAAGATTGCATAAATAATGAGCAGTGAACTCACATGTGAGGTAATCATGACATTTCTGCCAGCTCGGTTTTCTTGAATTTGATGTAAATGTCTTTACAACAATTTTATCCATTCAAAGATTTTTCAATCTGACCAAATGCAGAGGAGCTATCATGAAAAATTCCCACATGTGAGAACGAAGATTTGAATTTGAGACTGGTTGCTGTAACATTCATTAATGCAATCTTGGGGGGTAGGCTTGTCCTGCCTTGACGGTAAAAGCCAGTAAAAGTACACTTTCGCTCATATAAATTCAACTCCCATCATCTAGTAAACTCACTTGCAAGATAGTTTGGCTAGCTTACAGTGCAAAACCTTTCTTGTGAAAATGAGTTTTATTTGAATGAGAATAAAAATGATTTTCATATCTGAATAGCTTCGCCCTTAGCCTCACTTTGGAACAGAAGCTTGAGGCAACTCGCAAGCAGCCTATTGAGGTATTTGTGAAGACTGCCAACTAGCCATGGCCCTTCTTGCTGCAGTGTATGGGGAGCACTAATTTTAGTGCATCTCAAAAGAAATCTTAGTATTGCCTACCTTACTGACCCCTGCCATAACATCTGGGTTACCACCTTTGCCAATAGCAGAAATAATACCATTCTAAAATGAATTTTAGAAAATGATCACAATTTAATGTTGAATTAACTCAGTTTTTAATATCTTCATCATTTAGTAAATCAGTTATACACATCTGCTTATCAAGTGTTCATTCTTGAGCACATTCTTGCAAACCTTCACTGCCTACCTCTACTTCCAATCAGTTAAATGTAGAACAATAAAAATGCATACCAGTCATGGCGGTGGATTATGTAATCACAGCCTGCCTTGTCTTTTTGGAGAGCCTGAGTCACTTGTCTAGTATCCCACCCTGCGGAAGCATTCGGGGGGGGGAGGGGGGAGGGGGGATGCATGTCCCTCATCTGAATTTCAAAAGCAGTATTGAAGAAGAGGCCATACGCATGTGGCTGTAGGTATTTTACTATATTGTATTGCAATTTTTCATGTCGCTGTCACAGTTTCAACTTATTTTCATGTCATTTGTCAACAACTCCCATCTGTCTTATGTTGCCGTTTTAAGGCCATGTTGCTTGTCGGAATTTTACCCTATATGACGGGGGCATGACTATGAGTATGACACCTGGTATGACTATGAGCACATACAACCTTCCAGCATTTTAAAATACTTAGAGAGGTCCCCACTTCTATCCTCATTTCTGTTGAGCAGTGTGACATATGTCCTGTTCTGGACAATTTCTAGAAAAAAATCATGTACATCTACACCTACCTTGATCCCAACATCAGCTTTAATGATGCCAGTAACAGCATCTACAATGAGAGCATTGGTGATAACAGTGTCCAGGGCTGTGTCTTTGTTGGTAACATTTGCTGCTTGTCCCATTCCCTCCCTTAAAACCTAAAAGGATTCAGAGTAATATTAAACACACTTGCTCATGGTTCATATTCTCAAGGAATAACTTATAAATACTGAAATACTGGTAATTGACATGAAATGAATCATATTTTGAACTATCAATAAAGATATGAAAGTGAACGTGACCTTTGCCATAGAGGGAACAACCTAAGCGGTTGAAAAAAAAAAAAACAACTTTATTACCCCCAGGATCCCATGCTGTTTTGTCAGCTGGGTGTAGAATGAGATAAAAGTAGTCGGCTAAGGATGGCTAACTAGCTGGCGGTTTTGGCTAGCTACCAGCCCTTATTGACAGCCCTGACAGATTCACTGGCTTGTTGTCTGTTGAGGTGCAGGGGAATTAAGGGGGGGGGGACATGGGTTCACACCCAGATCGGTCTCCTTCAGGAGTTTGATTCTAGAGTATCCCCACCTGACCCTCCATGTACAGGTAAGCCCCCCCTCCCCCCCACCCAGGATCCCATACAACTGTATGTAGCCTACAACTGGAGGAAAAAAGATGTTAACCATACATGCATAATCAACATCATCATTTTAAATAATAATGAACACGTCAAGTGACCTATAATTATTTTCACACCTTGCCACCTCCAAATTTCAGTTCATCTCCATACACTGTGTAATCCTTTTCTACTTCTATAACAAGAGAACTGTCACCAAGATGCACCTGCAGTGATTAACAAGCAAATTAACAAAACACCATTTAAACCCCCTTCCCCCAACCCCCCACCACCATCTCCGTATGTTCACTTGTGTGTACTGTTACTTTAAACTTGTGGTAACATTTTAGTTTATCAAATTGATTTGATGAAAAGTTGGAGCTATATCACAGTGAGTTCCACATTTTTTGTTTAAAGGTGAAATGAAATTAAAAAAAATATCCTTGTTTACCTCCTGTCATAAGTGAAAGAAACATTTTACAATGATTCTATCAAAGAGAAAACAATGATCTTTTTTGACAACAATGGATAACTTGAAAAAACTGGCCAAACCCTTTTTTGAAGTAGTAACCAATCTATTTTTATCCTGACTTTCAAAAGTCAGAGGAATACGCTTTTATACATGTAGTTGAGGTACATGGTAGAAAAGTAATTTGGGAAAATAACTGTGCCAGTCTTTCAGGGTTTTCTTTGATTCCAATGTGTTTTAACATTTTAAAGTAGTACCAAAAATTCCTGACACAGCTCCTTTAAAAAAAAACAAAGAAGTTTTTTTTTTTTTGGATAAAGATTTGATAAAGCTTCTAAAAATGTTACCTCCACTCCAATGTCAGTTGATTAATAAATAACACATCACTGAATTAGATCAGAAACAGTCTCCTGACTGACTACATACCTTGTCACCCACAGTAGGCCCAAATATGTCCACATACAGCTGCCTTGTAATAGTTGCACTGCTCACAGAGAATACTGCATCATCCTATGATGATAACATAATATGAAATTAATGAACTTTAAAATATCACTTCATTATCCACACACAACTTATCTTGCCTTTTTCATACATTTCAATTAATAACACACTTTTTTTCAACAAAGAAGTTCAAGCACTGCAGCTTAACAGCTACAATTTGACCAAGATCTAAAGATGCCAAAAAAATGGAAAAAAAAGGCTCTTTTGCTCAAGGACAAGGGAGGGAGTTAAGGGAGCCAGTCCCATTGCATGAGCAGAGACACGGCAAAACTGGAGACAAAACATGATGTATGTTACAAACCAGAATGAAAAGAATAGCACAGTGTACAAAGCAGGTATTACAAAATATAATAATTTTTTTTTATATGCCACGAATGTTCACCGTGGAGGCTCTTGCAGCCTAGTCTGCTACACAGCCGTTTTTAGTGTCGTCACGCAATGCTCCTCCCCACAAACGGCTGCTGAAAACCGAACTACATTCCTTTCCCTTTGTGTTTGTGGTCTAACGAACAAGCCAATCATGCACAAGAAGTTTGACAATACGTGAGCCGCGGGGCGCTAGGACGCGAGCACGCTTCTCAGTTTTCGACAAATCAATCAATTGTCGCTGAATTTAGACGGCTCTGTGTTCTCAAGCAACGAAAAGGTTAATTTGCAAAAAAAGTTTGTTTTAAGCGGTCAAGAAAGTTCCAAGTGAAAGAAAGGTTTGATAGGCCTAGAAGACTTTTACCAGGATCGGTTGGTTCTTCATTTAACGTGCATATGTACTGATATGTGATGAAGAATTTAAATGTGCCGGATGTGCTCATTGTGTTCCTGTGAATACTAAACTCTCAAGGGTACTGATTCAAAAAGCAATCTTTTAAATTATCGATGAGCGATTTCCCGAACTATACCTGGCAACTTTATGAGCACATCCATGTTGTGCATCGCAATTTGCTCGACTTGCTTGCTGCTGGTGCTTATCTCCTAAATTTTAAATAGGACTCGACTACGACAACACTACTCTAGTTAATTGCTTGTTTTCACGCGACGTTTTGATTATTCTGTCATTCACACATGTGGCACCGATAAAAGCAAAGCTGTGATTGGAGGAGTCACAGTACCGCAAATGTGGCGCGAACACTTTCCAGAAAATGGGAGCTGAATTATAATTGGCTAATCACGGGAAAGGAATGTAGTTTGGTTTTCAGCAGCTGTTAGTGGGGAGGAGCGTTGCGTGACGACACTAAAAACGGCTGTGTAGCAGACTACTTGCAGCCAGGACATTTACGATTTCTTTTCGGAAGCTGAGCCTGGCTCTCTTGATCCGGTGAGTCGTTAGTAAGCCTGAAGGGTGACTTATTGGCCATTTTTGCTGCCATTTAAACAACTGCGCTACTGCCAACTACTGATGTAGCTGTGGATAAGGCTAGCATAAAATGTGTACGATACTGAAAGGTGGAAAGTATATACCAGTGTCTGTGTTGTTTCCCATCACCCCGTAAATTTCCATACGGTAAAAACACTACACAAAGACGGAGCTATTTAACACGTGTTATTGCAAAATACATCTTCTAAATCGAAACCCTATTGATGAAAACCTCTCTGCCTGCTGAAGGCATCCTGTTCCCCTCAACTGATCTTTGGATCCCAAATTTAGAGCAGCATCACTACCTCAGTACAGATGCTAACCGTAAATTACAAAGAGCTTTGAGAAAGTATGCAGCTGAAGAATGACAATGAATCAGCTTACACAAGCACAGTACTATATGGGCCATAGATATACAGTGTATGTGCTGCCATGAAGGGTAGGGTATTCAAGTAATTTATGGAGAGAGGGGGGTAAAATGAGTGCACCATCGACCTCAAGTTTATCAACTTTTTATCAACGTAAAATATGGTTGCTTTACCTTTACTGTTTTTTCAGCTTTACCCCCCACCTAACCCAATGGCCAGGCTGGCACACATGTATATAACTGGCTCACAATGTAGTAAGTAATATCAAACTAGACACAGTAAGTTTGCATGCACCTGTTGTTTATGGGCAAACCCTTCAACAGCTATTTTCTTCATGGCCTTTTCTAAGTTTTCAGGTATTACAGGTCCATCAACAAGTCCATTTCCACCACGAATCACTCTGAGAAACAAAGAAGTACAGGGTGAGCTAAAGATGCACACAGGCCAAGGAGACCAGTGCCACAGTGCAAAATAATCCAGTATCTGTGCAGTAACATGTAGCACCTGTTAAACCCATCAATAGATGAGCTTGGGGAATTGTGCATGACAAAGGAAGGTGGAGCAACTAGACAAATCGAGCCAAAAACATTTAGGGTATCCATGACAACCCTGTGAGCAGCAACCACCAGGCACAATCACACTGAAAGAGCAGTGGAAACCTAGATACTTACCATATACTTGCAGTATATATACCATGCCGAGAGGGATGAATGGGCCGGGGGTCAAGTCAGTGAGAACTGCCCAGAAGCAAGCAACTGAAGACAGTATGACTTGACATCGAGGCTGAGCTGTAAACATGCAAAGCCCATGCACACAGCCCCCGGCCACCGCTGCAAATCAACCCTGGGGCAACACTGCTGGCAAGCATTGCTTCGTGTTTAAATACTTAATTTTACGTGGCTTAAATTACATTTAGCCGCATAAAAATTTTATTTATTCTACTCCCCACTTGATGGAATCCTTATCCATCATAGAGCAACCACCAGCAGTATGTCGTCGTAACTGATTAAACTCAAACGGCACCTGGTTGAAGACAGACATAGTGGAAAAAAGTGTCTTGTATGTAAGGTAGCAACCCAATAGGAAGGCTTGAACCCCGACCTCCAGATCTGAAGTTTGAGGTGTTAACCTCTTAGGCAGCCACTGTACTCCAAAGAAGATTACACTGACATCATCATCATCATCATCATAAATTGTTGAGACAGACTGATCTACAATGGGGAGAGGCCTGTGCTCCCCCACAGAAGGGATTGGAAATTCCTGGGGGGTGGGGGGTTTTCAAAGGCCCAAAATCTTAAGTTAATGTAGGAAGCTTGACTGGAAATTCCTGAGAGGTGGGGGGGGGGTCTAAGGAAAAATCCCTTCCGTGGGGGAGGTATGGATATGTTTTGGAACCACACATTAGAAAATCAGCAAGACGGGGGTCTTCAATAAAAATCTTCTTTACCTGTTTCCAGCAATTTCAACAAGTTCAACAGTTTTAATGTCTCCTGGTTCAAACCTTACAGCAGTACCAGCAGCAATATTCTGTCAACAAAACAAATAAATGATCATTACTCATGAAATAATCATTATAGCATAAAATAATGATACTCACATCAAATACAACTAGGCAAAGAATTATTTACGACGGTACCTATTTGCAGCTTAAATATCATTCTCTCAAAAACACAAAATGATTTAATGAAATTAACAATGATAGCTAATAACAGCAACAATAATGATCATAATCATTAAGCATCACTTATCTGGTGATATTTACCAGTCTCATGCCAAAAGCAGCCTTTCTGTCAAACTGAAGATACTTATTTGTCTCAATGAAGTGATAATGACTTCCAACCTAAAGATAACAGAAAAATAAAAAAAGGTCTAGGAGGAGAAAAGTGATTAAAAAATTTTGCAAAACATAATGCACTTTAAAACAAAGCTGCCATGGGAGCACTTATGCCGTAAAATCATTCATTAATTTAGTTTATGTACAAAAGCCAAATAAGTAGCAACGAACAACATCCCAGCTGTTTACCATCTGCCAGCACAGTTAGTGGATATTTCCCAGGTATGATCTAAGCTCTAAGACAGAAAACAGTCTTTTTGTAAGATGTCATGTACAGAAGAAGAAGCCCACATCTTGAAGTGCATGTGCTATGCAAAGCACCGACTTTAAATATCAAATATTTACAAAATATAGTCAATTGCATACATTACACCAACAGGCATAATTATCTTGAATTGTGCAATACAGTACATACCTGGATAGGGCGATCACACAGGCTAGTGACCCTCAGCTTTACAGTTCGTCGCTCAGAATTTAGAGTAATATCTCCTTTAGAAGGAATTATGGCTCCTGGAACTGAGTGCTCCTATTAAGTGACAGTTATCAAACACCAATGTCAGTCACTTGTTAAAGTTTGCCCAGAGAAGTTTCAATTTAAATTTTAAAACCACAGAGCATTTCAGCTAGCTCTGATGCCTACTTTAAAAGGCAGTGAGACCACTGAATCAACATTTTGCATTAGCAATCATTTATGTTTCCAGTGATATTGGACAATGTAAGGTAATTTTTGCTTTGGGGCACTCAAACAAACCCATCACTCAATTTTTGTTGTCTGAGCTGTTGTCGCAATAAGTAATCATCAACAGTTAATGCTTTCTTCAGATATCCGTTATCCCTCTGGTTCATTATAAAAGATGGGACAGGAGATTCGTGGGCGTAGCCAGGATTTTCCAGAGGTAAGCACAGTTTTCCAAATCCCCCCTCTAAATACGTGCCTTGATTAAAGGTGAGGTTACATTGGAAGACTAAGCATTTTTACTGTCTAGCTAATGACATAAAATTCTAAAATAAAAAGAAATTAAAATTCTTTGTCACCTTTTTGGGTACATAGACTGAAGCAAGTCAATCACTCATCATATAATTGAGTAATCATTTATTAATGATCGTTAATTAACTAGTTACGGAGGTGTCAAATGTCTTATATAAACGAGCGTCTGCTCGGGTTTTGTTACCAAGGACAGTTCTACTTTGATACTCGTTGTCCCTTTGGCTTACGATCGTCGGCACTGATTTGTCAGCGCACAACCAAAGCCGTCGTTCACATCTTTAACGGGCAGGGATTTTCGGCGGATGTCTATTTGGATGACTTTTACGGAGCCGAATATCCGTCTCTTGCTCCTCAGGCTTTTTCACAGCTTGGACAATTATTCCAGCAACTTGGCTTGGATTCTTCTCCGGAAAAGGACACGCCACCTTCCACTTCAATGATTTGTCTTGGCATTTCCGTTGATACTGAAGCCTTCACTCTAGAGGTACCAGCCTCACGTCTGGAGGATTCTGAGCTGAGCTTATCATCTGGAAACAATCTTCATCTTTTACTAAGAGACAACTTCAATCGCTTCTGGGAAAGCTCTCTTTTGTTACGGCATGTGTCAAGCCTGGGAGAATCTTCATGGCCAGACTTCTACAATGTCTTCGCGAATGCAACCATCACGCTGCTAGTCATCGGTACCCCATTTCCGCCACTATGCTCTTGGACATCCAATGGTGGTTTGAATTCCTTCCACGCTATCACCGCATTTCACTTATCAAACCTTCACTGTGGGATTTCGAGGGCCTGAATTTCTCCACCGATGCTTGTCTTCAAGGGGGTGGTGCCGCCTGCCAAACACAGTGTATCAGTTTTGTTTTTCCTGATTGCATTTCTCTCCAATCTCTTCACATTAATGCTCTGGAACTGTTCACTATCGTTGTCGCTCTAAAACACTGGGCTCCTCAGTTACAAGGTCGAAAATTCATCGTGGCATGTGATAACTCCGCGGCTGTTACGGTCATCTCATCCAATGCATCAAAAGATCCTTTTATGCAGCGCTGCCTACGCCAGTTATGGTTCACCCTCTGCTCTCTTTGACTTTGAAGTCCGCGCGCTCCATGTTCCTGGCAAACACAATCAGTTTGTTGATTGTCTTAGTCGCTGGCACTCCGATCCTTCAGCTCGCGACAGCTTTTATCGCTTTTGTTGTGACTTTAATCAAGTTTTCTATTTTCAAGATGTTGACTCTGCTTGTTTTTCTTTTCGATGTTGCGTGACACTCTTTTTATTTAGTTTTGTTTTTCTCTTGTAGACCTCCCTCCGGGATCAGGTCAGCATTCGGTCAGATGTTTCTATCATCACATTGCAGTCTTTTCGTCTCACGTCTCATCTCCTGTGCACACGCAACATCGACACAGAAGAATATAGCTGCTCATATTCGTAGTTATCGGACTTTTTGTGACCTGAGGGCTCTTCAGTCCTTTCCTATTAGTGTTAAATCGATTAGCTTGTATGTAGCATATTTAGTCGCGCAAGAGAAGCGGGCTTTACGGTACCGTGCTTAACCATATTAGTAGTCTTAAACACGCTCATCAACTTGCCGGGTCTGAACTCACTTGAGTTCGATTACCGCTTTCAGCTTTTATTACGAGGCGCCAAGCGTTTTCTGGGTGCGGCGTTTCAGAATCGGCCGCCATGACACCTTCAATTTTGCATGCCGCGTTTGATCTTTTCAATTTTTCTTTACCGCTACATGCGGCTATGTGGGCTCTGTTTTTAGTTGCTTTCTTCACCTTTTTGCGTAAATCCAATCTAGTACTTTCGATAATCCGAGGCAAATCTCCCCCAAGGTTATCACGCTGGCAGATTTGGTTTTCACGTCTTCGGGCGCAAATATCCATGTTTCAGCCCGAAGACCATTCAGTGTCAGCAACGCTCTCTTATTTTGCCAATTCCGTGATTCCTGGCTCTCGCCTTTGTCCGATTTAAACTGCGGCGCCATTTCGCTCAACCCGGCCCCGTGTCTGCCCCCTTTTTCAGTTTCCTCCGGTCGGGTTTAGTACCAATTACTTACAAGCAATTTGCGCTTTTCTTTTGCGGGTTATGTCTACGCTCAATTTCGACCCGTCCCTTTACTCTCCTCATAGTTTTTGAAGGGTGGGCGACTTTTCGCATTTGATTGCCATATTCCATCCGAAATAATCAAACTGCAGGGAGACTGGAAGAGCGACGCTTATCTTGTTTATTTAGAATTATCTCAGACACAAAAACAGCAGGCAGCCAAGGCTATGGCCTTAACGCTTCAGTCTATGTTTTCCGACTAAGTTTTATTATCGACTTATGCCTTAGTCTTTTTCAACCCACTACCAACATTCTCACTCTAGTTTGGGCACTTTGGCGTCTTGGTTTATTGTCAAGCTATCGGTCAGCTTTCTCCGCTTGGTTCAATAAACTTATTTTGCCCAAACTCTCGTGTCGCCTTGGTAACGTGGGTTGATTGAGTAATCATTTATTAATGATCGTTAATTAACTAGTTACGGAGGTGTCAAATGTCTTATATAAACGCGCACATTCTTAACGGTCATCTTTTGTTAGATCCGGAGGCGACGCGTAACCTCTTGCCCACCTCTCCCCCCCTTATATCTCAGTATTCTTGTTGAGTTTATAACCATATTGTCCCTTCGTTTCATTTAATTTAATCTAGTTGCGTCTTGGTTTATTGTCAAGCTATCGGTCAGCTTTCTCCGCTTGGTTCAATAAACTTATTTTGCCCAAACTCTCGTGTCGTCTTGGTAACGTGGGTTGATTGATAAAAATAACTGTTATCTTTTGTTTATTTCCTTTATCTTAATTATTCTCCTTTTGATTTTCTTTTTTTCAGTTTTTTTTACCCTTTTTCTAAGGTATAAAAGCACCTTTGCATTGTGCATACAGGTAGCTACACCCCTACAATTGCCTCATTACAAATTAGTTGGAAAAAATTTACAAATAATTTAATGTACACTTACCAAAGGCACTACATTTGCACTGGCAGATGCAAACTTTTCCACAGATGGCACAGGAAGAAAGCTACCATACAGCGCAAGACTCAAGTTCCCATTTTCTTGACAAACAGGATCATGAACCGAGACCTAAAATTTTGATCATTGATTAAAACAGTTTTTAAGATTTACTTGGTTTGATGGGTGGAATAGAGAATTGTATGCTGTTGTGTCTTATGTTGCCCCATAAGAGATTTTATTGGCGAGAGGTGGTTTCATTGTAATAACCTCACTCTGTAATCAGCCAAAAATAGAGTTTATAGCCTGAAGTTTCTATCAGGATTAGCTAGAGAAGTAATGTAGTAGTGATAATTATTAAACTGTTCTGCCCACACCTATTTTCACTTATGGTGACAGAGAAGTCTTAGCTCTGTTTATATGGAGAAAAAATGTAGAAGGGTCATCCTCCCAGCCAAGTCAACTTTAGCCAGTGTTTCATTTTCTATAAGAAAAATGTTGTCTCCTTTGCCAGCTGGGTCAGCAATGCTCGCAAATGTCCTGATTGTCTAAAACAGTACAGCGCTCACCCATGTTCTGATTGTCTTGGCCTGACCGAGTTGACCCACCTTGGCGAACCAAAGTGTTTCATTAAGCCAACTTTTTGTTTTCTCACATAAACATTTCACCTGAAAATGGATTTTACCTATAACATAATTATTTTGCTTCCCTCCAGCTCCTTACCAATTTTGTTCCATCTGGAAAAGTTCCTTCAACCTGTACTTCATTGATAAGCTCTCCTACACCAGGTAACACTTGGTTCACCCCTGACAACAACATTTTCCAAAATTAATAATGGTTATAATAATTTTCCACACACCACCTCTTTATCTCTGAGCAGGGGAGAGAAAACAGCTGATCCTACTTAATAGATTGTCTCTGCAATTTCTAATCTGGGAGATGCTATCCAAGAGTCTTAGGGCCAGTTCAGACGCCGAACTTTTCATGAGCCGACCCTAATACATTGAATAAAGTACATGAAAAGTTCAGCATCTGAATCAATTAGGAATGCCTGTTTCAATTTGGAACCGCGTTCTTTTCGCCTGGCCCGGCTGGGAATTTCACCTTTGGAACGACTTTGATTCAGACACCGAACTTTTCATGTACCAAACCTAATGCATAATAATTATTATACAGTAAAAACCCGCGCATAAGAACCTAACATTAATAATATTTTAAGAACCTGTTAGGCTAAAATTTCATTTTTAAGCACCCTTCACATAAGAACCATTTTAGGCTAAAATCCTAAAACAGGTTTTTATTTTCAAAAAAATATATATATATATAGAATTAAGAAATTTTCTCCAAAAAAAAAATGTATATATATAACACAGTCTGTATGCGATAATACTCTAAACACGATAGCATGGTTACATAAAACTTTACCATAGGTTTGATTGTAACAGAATCAGATTAAAATAGTATAGTATTTTGCTTAACGAAGCCTCCAAGAATACTGTTTTTGGACATTAAACACCAGATCATTTAAAAATTCAGCTTTATTTCTTGAACAAAAGTTAAGAACCTAATTAAGAACCTAGTTAGCCTAATTTTACACTAAATACCATTTATATAAGAACCTGTTTAGGCTAACTTGGAAAAACCTAGGTTCTTATACGCGGGTTTTTACTGTAACGTATTTTGTAAGTAGTTTGACCGAAATGAGCATTTTTCTCCTTTTGAATTTAGTTTGGCTGGAATTAAGATCGGCGTCTGAATCGATTCAACTGGTCTAAATAATTTGTGTCGGCCTTAATTCGAATAAGGTTTGGCTCATAAAAAGTTTGGCATATGAACCGGGCCTAAGATTATCGAACCTTATGGTCAGAAAAGAGCAGTTAATTTTATACATTGAATAAGCACCTGGAATATGTGACCTTTAACAATAAGCTTGATTCTTTCAAAGTATTTATGCTTGATAATCGAAAGGAGAATTTGTTGTTAGATTAGGAGTCACTCTGGGCATTATTCTGCAAACACTTCTTCACTACAATAAAACACACCCGGGGTCAGGACTCCCATAGGAAAGTGAAAGGGATGCTCTGACATCAGTTTAAAATTAAAGGAGAGCAATCCAGGCATGGCTAAGACTTTTTTTACCCCTAAATGAGACCATACTCCAAAGGAGACCCAACCTCATCCCCAGCTGGGTCTTCTTGCTTTCCAATATGGCAGCTCTGCTGCTGCTGTGATATAGGAAAGCAACAAGACTCTGGGGACAACATTGTAGGAGACCAATCTGGGCATTACTCAGGCATTTTTGACCCCTAAATGAGACCTTACTCCAACACAGTGTAATGGCATTTGTTAGCTCTATATATGTTGTAATTAATTTTTTTATCTCAGGTAGTTTTTGTTCTTCTTTTGTTTTTGGGTAAGGTAATGTATGCAAATGAAGTTGAAACAAAGGAAAAATAAAAATTATCTAAGAAAAAAATTAACTACAGCATATACACTGTTGGCATTTCTTTCAACACAACCAAAGAGGTACCTTTAAGGGTAAAAATATTTGCTTTCTATCCTAGACACTCTAAGCATTTCATCACTTTAAGACCCCCTGCCCCACCCTGGGAAAAAGACACTGCATTTCTATTGACATGGCACCACAGATTTCCTTTGATTGATCAGTAATAGCAGAAACAATACAAATGGCATTGCAAAATTATTCTTGAAGTAGACATAATGACTCATGATCAAGGGATACATATTTGGGGCTTTGTGATGTAAGAATTTATAATTCTCTATACAATGGTACAAGTAGGATTGTTGAAGGGGTACCTACATTACAAGTATGTAGAGAAACACAGGGATTTCTTTGTCTAATTTTTTCCTATGAAAATAGCCAGGGATCACATTCAGGGGCTGGGGGATTGCCCTTAGTGACAGCACTGGCACAGGTACAAAACTAGTACTGGATCGACTCCTTCACACCTAGAGAAAACAATGGCTTTTTTCGTCTGGCAAGTATGTAATACAAAACTTGGAAAGGGTCGTCTCAATTACATTAGAGAAAATAATGGGTTTTATCATCTGGTAAGTATCGGGTCTCGGTGATCTGATTTCACAAGTTTTGTACCTACTTCTTGACAATATTGGCATAATCATATGTGTACTTTATACACTCAAATCAACAGTATTTATCATTAACAAACCTTAGAACTTATTTTCTTCCACTCACCTAATAACTGCTTTCCTAAGTTCATCAACTCTGCAACAGTCTTTCCATCTCGGATAAATTCATTGAGCTAAAATAATCAAATTTGTGCTAACTAAGAACCTGTTATTATTACCTTCGGGGAGGGGCAGGGGATCTATTTGTACCTGGATCAGGAGTTGTGGGAAAATACGTTTTTTCGTGTCTTTCCTACTAGTTTTAAAAGATGTGCGATTATTGTTGTTAGGAAAGTGTATCTTGTGCCCTTTGCTTCAAACATTCATGACAAAATACACATGGACACTGAGTATGCATGACTCGTGATCGAACAGATGGAGGAACACAATACATGAGAGAAACGCAGAACAATTTGTGAAATGCAAATAGCTAGCGCTACAGGACGAGTATATGTAATTATTACAGATTACTTATGGGACGGTATTCTGAAGTTGCTCCACTTTTCCACTGTTAGCACAAAGTGAGCCCCATGAAATTCCGTAATCTTACAGTGCAAAAGCCGTCTTGCGGTGTTGCGCGCTCACCTGGCAAGCGATAAGGGCGACTGCTTCGGGATGGTTCAATTTTAATCCACGTGCAAGTCGCTTCTGAGCCAGAAATCCAGTTTGGTGAATTAGAAGCCCCTCTAGTTCCCGTGGACTAAGCCTCATGACGAAAAACTCCTGGATAAGATCTTAAGAGCACCAACAAGGCCAAATCAACCAAATAAACGTGCTGACCTGATACGGACACGCAAACAGCAGACGAGTATTGCTTAGACCACAGGACACCCAAACTTAAGACACAGGTTACCAATCTTAGGCAATAGTTCCCTTTGGCCTTGCATTATATTCGTAAGGCATTCCGGAGAAAAAGCTCGAGCGAACGTGAGAAAAAGGGAAAACTATCTAAACCATGATTTAATCGTTTGTAGCATCTCCTACTCGAGCACACTGAGGCTAAAATAAAACTGGGCGGAAGATCACATCACTTGATTCCCTGGAACAGCGGATAGCCGGGGTCTTGGAATATAGATTTTCTAGCATAACAGCTATTTGAAGCACGTGATCAAGTTTTGCCAAAAAATCCTTTTGTGTGCTACTAGCTGAGTAAAGAAAGAACGCCGACAAGTTTTTTTTTTAGGTATTTGTTCACCTCTTTCACTGAGTCGTATCACAGAAAACACACCTGATGTCAAAACTCAGACTATACTTTTTCAAGACGCAAAAACGATAGCCTTTATTGCGGAAGACTTCAAACGGCTAAAGGTCACTGTTTGGATTGAATAAGCCCATTGATCTCCCTGTAGACTGATTCTGTCATCATGGGGTTGTGTACACGATCTTTTTATACATACGAGTCACGACCTACAACAATTTATAGCTGGTGTAAGTGAACAACAAGGTTTTTGTTTTGTGTGTGGGTGTTTTTTTACAACATTAGTTATATGGCCTAAAGATTTAACCAAAGCTGGGCAACACAGTCCATCAATTGCCTACTCGAGTCTAACCTGTGTTGCAAACTTTTCCGCGCGAGTTCGTCGAGGCTCCAACCGTGGCGCAAATTAATAGGGTCCTTAGGAAACTACAACGGCGACGGCAACGCCAATGGGAACAACTAAAGCATAACAGGTGTTATGAGCAAAACAACAATTCTGCATATGCAGCACGCTTTTAAATACATTTCTTTGGTCCCTGCACAACTAAGACGTGAAATGACCAAATTTGAAGTTGACTTGAGAACGGGAACGGCAAGGTGATCAATTTTACTCTCTCTCTCCCTGATTTGAACTCGGACGCGGTTCCCTCGCTTCAGTTCTAACCCAGCCTCCCTAGCACTTTCATTTAACTGGGTGACTTGGTACTAAGGCGAAGAAGTTCCCATCAACAATGGACTAGAGATCTTTTTTTCAGCGCCGAGTCGAAGTTTTCATTGGCGTCGAGTAAGGTCCCCAATAACTCAACTGGAAACGCTTGCAATGCAGGCTAGCTCGTGTCACCCTAGTTTGCCTTTTCTCTTCAAAACTATATTAACCTTGAGCAGCGACGCCTGGACTCTGAGAGCGAGGCAGGAACAGCTCTGAAATCACCTATTCAAATAAAAATCTAAAGAATAAAAGCGTGGGTCTTGGCTAATTAACAAACCAGTCCATTTTGTTTTGCTAGTTTTATCTTAGGGAGTTTAGCGACGGCGACGGCGACGGCAACGAGGACGTCAAAAAAGCAATAGGTTCATTACGCAAAACAACAACTTTGCACGTGTATCACACTTTTTTCTACATTTCTTTACCGTCCTTGCACGACTTTGACGTGAAAATGCCTAATTGCAAGTTTTATGGAGGACGTAAACAAGCGACGACGAATCTCTTTTTCTCTCTCTAAACTTGAGTGCGGTCCTCAAGAAATCAACTCCGGGGAAATTCGCCTACATTTGCCATTTTCAGCAAATTGGAATAAACGCGACAAAGATTGAAAAAACGGGAATTCATTTTAAAACTGACGTTTTCACTGCCCTTGCCGTCGTCGATGCTAAAGCTCCCTATGTTCTGGAAAACCATTGGAACCTCGAGCTTGAATATAAATCACCTCCAAGCCCGTTAATTATCAGGACTTTAGCCTACTAGCAAACTCTCCATGTATGGCGAACCGTGAGCGAGCCGCGATGAAAGAGAACAAGCGGGCGAGCGGCAAAGCCGCCAGGGACGGGGCAAAACCTGCCTTTCCCTATCGCGGCCCTCGAACTCGCGTCTCCTCTCGCGTGCTGCTCTCGCGCGTGACTTTTCGCGACTCGCACGCTATCAGGACTTTTGACTAAGAAACGGGCCCCAGGGTACGCGCGCAAGTCAGCAATAGAATTTACACATTGATGATTGACACTTCGTTACGCTCAATTTTTTCCAGCAGCGGGGTGAATCTATATCCGCGCCCCTCCACGTGCCTCCAGGCCATGCGTTATTTGGCCATGAAGCATGAACTCTTCGCTGACCTCAGACGCAGGTGGTCTGCACTTCTTCAGAATAAAAAGTGGCATAAGAGATAAGAAGCTTCTTATAGGACCGCGGCTTCTAATTCGTACCAAAACAAAGGCCTCGTTTTGATACTCATTAGAAGTTGCGTTACTTTAGCTGTGCTGAATGCATCTTATCTGGGCTTTTCGGCTGAGTTAATACTCGGCAATGGAACAATGTATATTGAAGCCGGACCAACAATCTCTGCTTTGGGAATAGTGCAACGAGACGATATTCACAGAACGGTGAACTGAGGCAGTTCAGGAAGGGTGATTATAGCTACGTTTTAAAGGTGACTTTGTTTCAGCAGTGCAACGTACGTACGCCGAGTAATGAGTTATTTTCACGAGATCCGTAGGTTATTTTTACCATTTCTAGTGACTATGGTTATGCTGCCAAACCTTTACTTTATACACTCCTTGAGATCTGGGCAAGCCTCGGTGATTTCAAGAGTGAAGGAAGATTCCTGCAACTACACAAAGAAATTCTGGAAACCACGAATTTGTGCCAAGAATAAAGGCCGCGATGAAGCTGGACATTCGGCAACAAATGCGATGTATCGGTTAGTAAGACTTGATGGAGTGAAAGTTGGCCATGTTCGGGCGTTAAATCTTAGCGAAGACAAAGCGTATCGCGTTGTGACAAGGAGTTTGCGTCCACTTTTATTCCAAATCCCGGAATTTTTAAGTCTTAAGGAATGCGATGAAGTCATCCAAATTACGCAGAAGCAACATCTCAAAGACAGCGAAACGGTTTATGGAAAAGCAGAAGGTATTCCAAGGGAAGAGTTTGAAAAAAGTTTGAACGGAAGAAACCTATCTTTCGAGAAAGCAGCACTTTGCAGGAGGATGTTTCGACCCGAAAACCTTGATAAAGACAAAGACAGAAAAATTTCTCTGCAGGAGTTTATCACTATGATAGACAAAGAAAAACGTGTTCATCCAACGAACGAAGACGCAAGGCCCATTTTTCGCCTATTTGACGTTGATTTGGATGGTCTTATTGTTCCAGAAGAATGTGTCAATTTGACCAATGCAGTCTATTCGGAATTTTTGTATAATTTGGAAGAGCTTAAGTTAACCCCTCGATATTATCTTCGATTTAGTGAAACAGCAAGTTTGCCTAGAAACGAACCGCTAGTGAAGACCTTGCAAGAAAGAATTGCGAAACTGACGGGTCTTTCAAGAAGGTTAATTGAAAAAAGTGAACCGATTCAGGTTGGTCTATTATGAATTAATATTACAGCAGATGTTTATGTCCTGCATGCAGTCACGCAAAAAATTATGCAGCAAAACTCGTTTGATCTCACTTCCGGGACTCTCAGAGAGCTGTCTTCCATCATGCAGAGTTTACAGTAAAATTATGCTGCAACTACGGGTAATCGCGTGATGACCTTATCCTCAAACTCTCAGTCGTTATTTATTGCATTCCACAAACAAAAAAGATGCCTCATTTTCCTCTTTTTTTATTACGACGGCCGAGCAAAACGCTTTAAGATGGCCTTCCTCCTAGCCTCACGCAGACGTTCTTGGGGCTTTGTCACACGCTTTTGTGACCCAGCCCTAAGAACGTCATCATATGCACTATATACTTCAACGTTTATAGGTAGTCATTAGGACACGTGAAGGAGGATCATGAGGTTATCTCTATATTAAGATCCTTCCTTACAGATAACCCACCCAGCCCAGGAAAGGTTAGCCGCTCATCCGGGATCTTCGTCCCCTACTCTTTTCGAACAGTGGTGTGGGTTCTTTTACGTCTCGTAAGAACCAGATAAGTGAAAGTGCTGTGAGACGGGGCCTACGGTTTTTCGTCCTTATCCGAGAAGACTGGAAAGTCTAACGGTTTGCAAATGGACGCTGAGTGTTGGTCCGGCCGCCGTTTGAGCCCGGAACCTCCGGCTCAGCAGACTGGCGCTCTCCCAACTGAGCTACCCAGACGTCTGCTTAGCCTGAGGTTACTCCTCCCAGAAACTCGACTGTGTTATACGCTACTAGTCTTTGCGCGGTTTATCTTACGCCGAAAAACACTTGCGCACCTGAAAAGAAAAAACGTCGAAGATGAATAAAAGAGAAAAAAATAGAGGATAGGAACAGAGGATAGATTAAATAGTCGTTTGCTCTATTTCCTTTCCTTAATTATTTTCACTTTGATTTCAGGCCGTGCGTTACTCTACGTTTGGGCATTACAATGTGCATTATGATACAACCTTCGGCGGTGCAAAGAGAACAGAATGTTGCCGAGGAACAGCCTACGATGACTGCCACCTGTGCAGGTACGAATAAGAATGCAGTTTTTTCGCATGTTTATGCTCTAGGATCGAGACTGTTTTAAGACCATGGCATGTTATTGGCATGTTTGCACTCCACTAGGACGTTTAGGAGTCCATGACCTATAGGCTTCTGACCAGGACTGTTTCCTCCACAGGCGTTCCCTAAGACTTAAAGTGGAACACGGACTTTTAAAGCGGGTTGCTGGAGACAAGCGATAAGTCCGAGAGTGAAGGGTGATGGGAAGGAGCGCAGAGCGCGAGCGGGTAGTATGGGAAGTCTCCCCTTCCCATCACTCCCTTCGCCCTCGCTTTTCTTAATGATTAACTGAAGTATACTCTAAAAGAGCGATCGCGAGCGACTAGGGGCAAGGCAGCTGACAAGGAGACTAGAAGGCACGTTTTACGCTCGAAGACCAGGGTACACGTTCTTGTGTCCTTGGCACCGGGGCCCAGTTGTTCGAAGGCCGTTTAGCGCTTAACCCAGGGTTAAGTTTCACCCTTTTTCTTTTTCTCTTGCTCAAAAGCATTTTCTTGGATAATTTTCTTTGTTATTTTGAAGAGCATCCAACCTGTTGACAAAAAAAATTAAACTGAATTCACTTTTTAAGCTTTCCAATTTGAATTCAAATTTCTCACTAACCCTGGGTTATCTTAACCCATCTTTGAACAACCCGGCCCGGGTATTTTCGTATCCCACCAAAAAATAATCATTTGTTACAACAGAGCACCCTACGATCAAATTACCTATACCATATTTACTTATTTCCTAGGTTTATAACAGTAATCTTGTACTTGAACGATGTAATCAAAGGAGGCGAGACAGCCTTTCCAGTAGCTGATGACCCGCAAAAATTTCACTCTAGAAACTACTCCATAACTCTGAACAAACGATGCCAAGAGGCTAATTTGATCATTAAGCCAAAGAAAGGGACAGCGGTCATGTGGTACAACCATTTTCTAGAGCATGATGGGGCGGATCACATGGGAGGAGCTGATTGGATGACTTTGCATGGCGGATGTGACGTCATCGAAGGTGTCAAGTGGATCGCAAACGTTTGGTTAAACGCACCAGTGAAGTCGGGAGGAGAAATATAGCGTAAAGTTTCTCTGACTTAAAAGAAGTGGTTTCACTATGACAGGAATTACTTTCTCTGTGGTGTTGTCTTTCATACTGCACCAGGGAAAACCGCAAATATTAGAACTCGGAGAAATTTCGTGCCACACGGTATCTTATTTTGATTGAGCAAATATTTCATCGGTAGGAAGGACGGGGCACTCGTGAGATCATCATTGCAGAGCTTTTAACAAAATAACAAGGCCAATGAAGGGGATAATGCGACAGGCTGATTTAGCAACTGAACGGGAATGTCAGTTAACGACCTACCCCTCCCCTAAGCCAACATTTAATAAGTGTAAATGTTAGCTTAGGGGAAGGGTAGGTGGACAGTTTCCCAGGAACCGAAATTTATCCGAAAAGGCAAGGGAAGGAAATGTTTCGCAGACATATCAACGTTAGTTATAATGAATAAAAGCCTCCGAGGTGTCCTCCTAAGGTGAATTAAAGGAAATCACTAAAGAACGGCAGGTACTAACTAACTCAAGGTGTGCTTAAGGGAGGTATCTATAAAGAAAGACTTGACTGTAAAAAACCAGAACCTGGATCTTTAAAGAATAAAAAGAATTTCTTGGTAAGGGAAAATTGTTTATTTTATCTTACAAGTTTGTAACAACTTTTCATTCTGAGAATGGAAAATGGAACTTGTAGTGCAAATAATGAAGACTCTCATTGAATTCTCGATGAGAGTCTTTATTATTTGCACTACAGGCTCGGTATGTATCACATCAAACATAGCAAGTACAGTGTAGCTCGCACTAGTCATATTCGGTAACAGTTTCGATCGGAACTGACGGTATCAAATGCAATAACTAAGGCATAACCAGCGTTTATGGCGTGCAGTCTAACTTCATGAAACGCGGAATGGAACGATACTCAAGCGGAGATTTTACATTCTTAACAGAATATAAGTCGAAAGAAGTCATTAAGAAAAACAAATGAAAAAAAAAATGTACATAAATATGTTTTCAACTTTCAATCGTCGAAGAAATCCTCCCATTCATAACCGACTTTCTGCTCATGATCGCGTTCGTCGTCCGAGAACAGATGACTTTCAGTATTTTCGTTATCCCGGGATTGTGTTACGCCTTTATGGACGTCTTGTTCTGTTTCTTTTGCCTGCAAAGAAAAAATCTCTTTTAATTCATCAAATAATATAATTATTCTTTTGAATTTTTAACTTGAGTGACTTTAGCATCTATATATTCCTAATGAATCCCGCAGGATTTTACTTTTTGCTTCTTATTTTTTTTCAAATTGCGCCTTTTCCAACGATTTGATACCGACGGTGCACCTATTTTGAACGTAAAGAAATCCCTAGAACGCTTGCTAGTCCTTTAACCTGATTAAATTCTTCCGATTAAGTTTACAAAACCTCTATCATGCGTACTGGTTTTCTTCAATTTTAGACTGGCTTTAAAATGTGTAAACCAGAAGCTGAATTTGAAATAAACCTTAAATCGATGGTTAGCCTGTTTTAACATACAGCCGTCTGTCCTCTCTGCGATCGCCGTCAGGGACGCGCAGGTATATTAGTACTGTTATGGTATTAATTTAAAATTCCTTACCTTGTGCTCGAATGTCACATGCTTTTTCTTGAGTTTCTTTTGCTTGTCACTTTTCTGTTGGTGCTCAGCCCTCTTTTCTTCAATCTTTTCCATTTTTCGGGCGCTAGAAGCTTCACGCTCTTGCTTTTTCGCAAAAGCCTGGGCTGCTGCAATCCTGTTCCTGCTTCGCGAGGCTCTGTCGCCAGCTTCTCTTCGCTTATCTATCTCTTCATTACGCCTGATCTCAGCTGCCGCCAGCTTGGAAGAAATGTTTTCTTTTGTTGCTTTTGACATGGCCTCTGCAGGATGTGGTCGGTTCGTTCCAGCCCTGCTACGCGCACAGTCTCGGATGCGTTCAAGTTCCTTCAGCTTTCTTTCTTCTGCAGCGCGCATTTTCTCTCTAACTGCCTGTAAAGTCAGCTCGGGAACAATTTTTCTACGCCTTCTCAATCGCCAAGGAACTCTGGCAGACGGGAATAAAGTCTTATCGCTACCAGAAGGTATGTCAAAGGCGACGGCCGTTTCCGCCTTTCCTGACGAAGCGGAATTAGTTGCACTTATGGGCTTAGCCACGGTGATTGAGCTTGATGAGATATACGTAGCATATCCCTGACACCCCAGGATTTGACGGGCACTTTCCATTAGCATCTTCTCTTCATTGATGTAACTCTCAATCACGGGAAGCCTGACTGATTTGTTGTGTCCTGACGGTAAAACCGGTCTGTCCAAAACGCGCACAGCGGCTTCTATGTCTTCCTGCGAAGAGGAATCAGTTTCGCTCATTTCAGAGCTATCACATGAAGATGTCGCCAAAGTATCACAGCTTGATCCTTCAGCATTTCCATCCCCATCCTTCCAAAAGCCTCTGTCTTCGAAACACGCCGAATCTTCGCGAGAACGGCCCGCAAATTTTCGCCCGGAAAATAAATGAGCTGCTGGATCAATTTGGTTCTTCGTCTTATTAAACTTGGAAAGAAGCGAACCGCACATTTTCCCCAATACAAACTTCAACAGTTACCGTAAAAATCTCTGGTGAAATACTAACTGTAAGCACTGAGCTTTATAAAGCACGCAAAACCCCAACTAGAAAATACTTTTCGTTGCCTTGGTTTCATTTGTTACGTTTTTTAAGTTAGAACATGCATTGACGTAAATGTATGAAATCGTAACGTTCGCGCTGAAAAGAGTGAATAGTATTTCCTCCCATAAAAGTCTTTGTTGTACCGTCATTTGCTTATCCAGGTCAGTTAAAACTTAAGTATTTAATTTTCTATTTCAGTTACCGTGAAAAAAATTACTAAAATAGTAATAATGTCAGTAAGCGCACATTGTGCCTGATGATAAATTCTTATGCGCGCGCAAGTGCCTACTCGGGGCTTCAGAGGCGTTTTCGCGCAACCGGAGTGGAGTTTATGCATTCTTATGTGGTTCTTTAGACCAAATTTTCGAGCAAATCGTCTCTACAAAGGCAATGAAAGTTAGCAATACAGCTATTTGGAGAAAGGTTGTCGGGAAAAGTGCATGCGACAATCCTGAAAGGCATTGTGGGTGGTTTTAAGTTCTTTTTTTTTTTTTCAAAGAAATTTGAAAGAATTGGCACGAAAGGCCATGGAAATGTGTTTGCGAGTGCTAAAGGAGAGCAACAAAAGTAGGTTCGACAGCTACAGTCGTCAGGAACAGTGTATTGACCATATCCCATATTACCTTTCGGGATTGTCGCGGGCACAATTTATGGAAAGCCTCACTCGGTTACCAAGCGTTGCTCAAAAACGCCTTTGCTTGAGCCGGCCCTATTTGCAAGAAACCTTCAGTGACGTCGGACGTTAACCGCAACGCCTTTTTTTTTAACGCCAAGCTGTATCTGGAGTTATGTTGAATGATATGATTTAATGCAGGGTAGGCAAATTGAAGCCTTTAACACGTTCATGTGGGGTAGCTAGGAACGCGTGACGAAGCCATAAGAACGTCTGCGTGCGAGGTTAGGCAAAATGAACTATTCATATCAGTGACAACTCTGTTGTTCTCGGTCTTTTCACGGACGGCTGCTAGTACTCTCAGGGGAGGGCACAGGCCTGGAGCACGTGCATTGAACCAAAATTGAATTGAAACAAAGGGCCCTTTTAACGACAAGCGAAGTGTCACGCGAACTAAAATTTTAAATCGCGTGCACGATACCTGTAAAAGAAGCGATGAGCGCGCATTCTGTTCTGTTGCCATATACTATCACGTGAAGCTAAAACTAATGGCTGAAGTAATGTAGACTTTCGTGGAGCTTCGCATCGCATAACAAAGCGCCAGAAAGTAATAATAAGCTTGGGAAGCTAATGACCGATGGTAATGAACTCTGTTTTACATCGTGTGGTTTGACGTGGCATTTTGGGCGCGGTACGTGCTGACCAATAAATATATGATTTCGCTCCTTTTCCCTGGGAAAACTGAATTATTTGTCGCGTGTTTTTCTCATCTTACGTGCTCCCCCTGAGAAATACATGTGGTTTTCACGTCAACACAGTTTTAACTTGCGGGGAGGCAAGTAAGGGGTCAAATGTCTAAAAAAATACCGAGAACATAACATCCCCTTGTGTTACGCGCCATCTCTTACTTCAACGATGACATCCATATTTAAAGTTTGTTTTTATATCTTTCTTTTAAACCTCGAACTTGGCATTATTCATGGCTCGGAAGAAAAACCGACTAAAGGCGAAACTTGTTCCGTCGGTGATGGGCCATCGACAGGGCATGATGAGGAAAATCCTTGCTTCAAAGACGGCCAGCTGTACTCGCCCTCAAGCTTTGCACTGATCCGGCGGGAAGGTAAAGCATTGAACCACGTTGAAACAATCCAAGTGGATGGAGACAAAAGCGTACAGCTCATTACTAGGAGCTTGAAACCACCGATATTTGAAATCCCAGATTTTCTAAGCAGCGAAGAGTGCGATCAGTTGATAAAACTTGCAAAGAGAGAAGGTCTGGAAGAAAGCAAGATCACCAAAACAAACACCGTTACGTGGGAAAATGTGAATGATACGTTAAATGAAAAAGAAATGCAATTTTATTGTAAAAGCATTGCACGATATGATTCGAACAAGGACAACAGTATTTCTCTGATCGAGTTTTCGAGTTACGTGTATCGCCTACTCAGGATTCTTGTTGATTTGAACGACCTATGGACAGTTTACAGAGAATTACTTGCAGAGGAGGCCAAAACAATCACTTATGAGGACTGTATGAAGGCCAACCGCACGCGCTTTGTGGAGTTCGTCTACCAGCTACTAAACATAAAACGCTTACCGTATTACAAGACTCGATACAGTCAACATTCCTGGGTAGCACTGAGCGACAACGATCCTATTTTAAAATCCGTCAAGAGTAGAATCGCTGAGGTTACCCAGATGTCTGTATGGCAGATTGATCACAGCGAGCCGTTACAGGTATTTATTTCAGTTTTTATTTTCTCTTTTCACGTATACATTTCACATCCACACTCGAGAGATTAAAATTCTAGTCATTCTACCCTGCCATATATCATAGTTCCCACCCTTTCCAGCGCGCGACCCTAGAAGGACTTCGTGCGTGGGAGTAGCCTGCGTAGCATGGCGGTTTTGTCGAGCCGGGCGCACGAGTGGCGAAGCCGCGAAATTCGCGCGCGAGAACGAGCGGCAAAGCCGCGAGAAAAATAAAAACCCCAATCTCCTCGAGGTTTCTCTGCCCTCGCCCTCCTTTATTACTTAGCGCGCCCAACCAAAACCGCCATGCTACGCAGGCTAGCGTGGAGGTGCGTGGGAGCAAGCTCTTTTGGCCGGTTCATTGGCCTCTCAATCAACTCCGGAAAGACGCTCGAAATCGCGAGAGGGGAAGACAACTTTTGACTGGCTGTTGAGACACTGTTTCGTTCACACTCAAACGCAAAAGAGTTGGGCAGCCGAGAACACCAATCAGAACTGGAACATCAATGGAGGAATAGCCTGGGAACGCAGACTTATTTCCGGTCGTTGCTTCTCTGTCTTCTCTCTACCTTCTCTACGGATGGAGAGAAGGAAATGAAAAAGGGAAGAGGTCCGCCTGACCACAGATTAGGCGAGAGAGCGCTCTCCCTCTCTTCCGCTTCCCCTTCAATTCCTCCCCCCCATTTCCTCTGCCGCTCTCGTTGTCGCGCCACCCTCCACGACCTGAACGCCGGGAACAAGCTAATCCCTTCGCGTCATGCGTCCTTGTAAGAGAACTTAGAAAAAAGGACTTATTTCTTAAGCTTGTGAGTTGGTAGCTCACATGGATGGCGTTTGCATGCAATGGAGGGGGAAAAAGGGATTTAGTAGCCGGGTCACCGTAACAGTCCCCCAGCTTCCTCCATGATAGAAAGACCCCACCACCGGGGTCTACGATCTCTTCTCTTTTCTAACACCAGTGTGGGTTCAATTACGTCCCCTTACAGTATAAAGCAGATAGGGAGCTTAAGCAACAGCGTTTTTGAGCGACGGACGTCAACCGGAAGTGGACTTTTTGCAGCGTTGGGCTGTGGTTTGGTTGAAACCCTCAGGTAAATCGTCTTTATGGGAGAAAAGAAACTCAGCAATACAAATTTGGTAGTGTCCAGGCGTATAAAAAGGGAAAAGGCCTCACTTCCGGTTGACGTCCGTCGCTCAAAAACGTCTTTGCTTAAGCTCCCTATTAGCTAAGGCCGACGGCTTAACGTCACCGTCCAGTGACGTGATCATCTCAACTGAGACAAAATCTGGAATCACAACCAGCATGTTCTAACCAGCTTTTGAAAGACCCTGCTTGTTGGTCCGGCCGGGATTTGGAGTTCAGCGTTCGGTGCCGGTAGACCAACGCCCTCCCAACTGCGCCAACCGTGAACTCGTGCAATAGTTGGTGAACTTAAGTGTAATTTATGAACTGAGTTGTCCTTACTGAACTATATTGTCTTTATTGAACTATAAAAACAAACAAGACGTCCGTGCCCGATTCGTTCCCTTTCTAGTCTTTCTAAAGCTAGTGAGTAATAAAAAAAAGTCATCAAGGCGCGCTTTGGTAGAAAATTAGGCCAGACAAAACAGTGGTGCTTTGATTAAAACAATTCTACAATTGTTCTTTTTTACTTTCACAGGTCGTGTATTATCACAGATCTGGACACTATCACGCCCACTACGATTCCTCCGTAGCTGAAAATGTAAAGGAAAAAAGATGCTGTCAGAGGAATGAAGACAGGGACACTACATCATGTCTTCTATGTAGGTAGGTCGGAATTCTCTGTACTTTATAGTCACACAGATGACTCCCACAGCGGCGTTTTTTTTTTTTGCTATACCGTTTTGTTTTGGTTGTGGGAGTAATTTTTTGGTGTGAACGTGTTTATCCCGGGGGGGGGGTTACTCCCTTATGTTTGCCTTATAGACATCTGCGCTGCCCCAAAGGGTATGGTTTTTGCGTTGTTTTGGTCTGAAAACGGTTGTAGACTTTGCCTATTTTTGTCTAAATTCGGTTTTAGTTTTCGAGGGGATTCGGGAGTACTTGGAAGTATTTGTCGTTTCAACTTTAAATGAATAAGAAAGAAAATGTGAATATGAGTATTCGAAATGTAGTTTTTGAAAGAAATCTTTTTGTTGGCGTTCTACTGAAAACATAATTGATGCCTACGCTAGGTCTGAAAACCGGTATGGATTTTAGAGGCCACATCTGAAAAAGGGTGTAGAAAATGAAGTACAAACATTAACCACAAAGGACTGCAAAGGACCGCAAACGAATGTGCCGAAGAACGTAGGATCTATAAAGACCTGATCAGCAAAAATGAAAAGTAGACATATTAAATCCTGCAAGCAGAATACTGCAATGGTGATCGTACCACGTGAAAATTAACTCTGCAAGATATCAACACGACACCGAAAGAACTCAAAACAGAGCGGGATTGTAGCAATAGACAGCTGTTTATGGCTACAATCCCGCTCTGTTTTGAGTTCTTTCGGTGTCGTGTTGGTGTCTTGCAGAGTTAATATTCTGTAGAAAATGACAATTTTTGGTCTGTATAGGGTCAGGATTTGGAGAAACAGGCGGCACTCCCCCACCACGAATTCCTAGGTAGACTCTCCCTCGGGGTGTTTGTCCTCTCTGAGCCAAGTAGAAGTAAAGGCGGTCTGTGGGAAACGTGTACGTTTTTGTTGATTGCTTCATTGACAGCACACGTAGCAGCCTGACTTGTCACTCGAGACCTTAAGATAGCGGAGAACTCGATGCAATCTGTCCTGTCGACTATATTGGGGATTTATTAATAGACTGCCTGCGCTGCGGGCTATTAAATGAAGACTCAAGCAAGTTTTGCAGACTTCTAAGTCAAAAAGCCTTTGCATTATTGTACAGTTAAGGGGGTTATTCACCGCGTCCATCCATTTTGCTTAAAATTCAACATCATTGTGCTCCAAAAAGGATTCATTAACTCCCATTTTGCTCAACACTGTTTTGGGTAGGAGGGGGAGGTTGCTGGTTATAACTAAGAGGGAGCTTTTGCGGAGTGACGCACGTTAACTGGAAGTGATGATTTTTCACTTTAAATATGCCTTGACGTTTCCAAATTTGTATTGCTTAGTGTCTTTACTCTTATAGAAGCGATTTGCCCGAAAATATGGACAAATCCGCTGCCCAAGAATGCAAAAATGCACTACCGGTTGAAAAAAAAAACGTCGCTCAAAAACGTCTTTGCTTAAGCTCCGTAATATCCCAAAACGTTTTACTGCCATTGTAGGTACATCACCATGTTGTTTTATTTGAACGACGTGGCAGAAGGAGGTGAGACAGCGTTTCCGTTGGCTGATCGTGAAGACCATTTACGAACCAACAATTATACAAGAGATCTGAGTAGACATTGCCATAAAGCGAGTCTGGTAGTGA